AAATTCGTATCCTCTATAATGACTGTAGAGCTCACTATTTATAGTTGCACCTAGGGAACACGGTCCTAGGATCAAGCCCCTCTTAAATGACAATTATGAGGGCCATTGAAGAATGTGTAATGGTAGGCAGTGAATGACATATTCTTTGTAACGGACCGTGCACTTAATGCTATAGAAAATTCTCTATTAAATGCTACCGGATGGAAGGTATTCAATTCGCCTTTATGAATGCCATTCTCTTCGAGATCGTTGCCTTCAGACCTGATTGCCTTCTATCTTCGGCTCCACGTGTATCTTTCTCATACAAACATTTAATATGAACATACTTTACCCTATACAGATAGTCCCCCTGCTTTCCAGTAGCATAACCTTATATCACCAGAAAGTTGGTAAAGATATCATTTTTGGCGGGAAATTCTCTGACCCCTTCTGAAAAGTTTCTGATGATTGACTAGACGCATGTCTCTCCGCATTTAATGTACGAACACGCGTCATCCCATGATTCAACAATACTTTTGCCGGTTATCGAGGTAATTATGGCCACGATTTTAGTCGTGTATTCCTTTACTTTTACACATCAAACTTCTCCATTTACACTTCATAACTTTCCAAACTTTCTCGAACACTCTTTACTCAACTCATACTTGTCTTCAACTTTCTCTATTCTTCTTCTTCTTCATAAAAAACCCTTTTCTCCTTTTCGATAACAATGTCCTCTTCTTCTATAAATCCCAGTTCCTCAAAGAGCAAAGGTATTGCTGATGATGCTTCTCCTCTTACGCTAAGCACTATTATTAGAAGAAAACTCATCACAACTAAGGACTTCGAAGAGAAGTATCCTGCCGCTAACCCTCACACATGGGCTGTTAGCGTGTATCCTTCTTCCATCCGTCCTTCCAGCATTCCTGCTGTGAAGGAAGATTGACGTTGCCATGATTTGAACATCATCTCTCCTGACCTGGCGGAGCGGATAACCTTACTCAAGAAGGATTTCACGTATTTTTACACGTATCCCTTCAATTTGGGACCGTTTTCCTTGAGCGGGGAGCTTGACTCTGTTATAGTGGAGTTCTGCATCCGTTACCAGGTATACCTGGCACAGGTAAGTCCTTCTGTGTAGAGGACAGTTGCTTGTCTTCGGCGTCTATGCTAGGAGATGGGAGAAGAGCTATCCCTAGCTGGATTAATGAATCTTTATTCCTCCAAAGTTTTCCACGGCGGAATGATAAATTTCAGCAAATTTGGCCACCATGCTTTGCTAACCACCATGGATGATGACAACGACCGTGGGTGGATGTAACGATTCGTTGCAGTTGCCACCAGGGATATTATTCCAGCCACGACTCCATCCTTTCCAAAATTATGGAACCGTACTCGTAAGTTCACCGTTTACCTTTTCTTCTAGTTAAACATCGCCCCATACTATTACTGATTCTTCTTCTTTCACTTATTTCAGCAACTCGGTGGACACCACCTATGGTTGAAGGCTTGGACCAGTGGGTCCAGAAGATTTTGGACGTCATTCCGCCCGAGGCCCGCACGTGAAACGAACTAGCCCTTAAATATGGGTTGAAGGCCAAAAATCATGATAGATCGAACTCATCTTATTTTCACCTTTTGTATAAAAAGAAATTGATTAACCTTTCTCTCCTACTGAATTCAGGTCTACCTTAGGGATCAGTTGTCGTCCTCGCGGAGAATGTGTTGGCTGATCCAGCTAACGCGGTGAGGCTGCTGTAGGAGGCCATCACTCGAACAGGCTTCTCTTGGCCCGCTTCTGGTGCAAGTGCTTCTTCTTGGAGTCCTGATGTGCTGTAGAATTTCAGCACTTTTGATAATAATTGCATAGACTTTAGCTCGTCTTTTAAAGTTTTTTTAGTTATTTCTTATTATGTTTTGGTGTTTTGCAGTGTATCGGACTTGAAGAGCAAGAACAAGGAAAAGAAGACAAAAACCCATAAAAGGGCATAAATGCGGCAGGTCTGCGACCGCAGAAGAGATGTGCGAGCCGCAAAGCAACCACAGACTGAAGCAGGTGCTCCAACTCTTGAAGAGAGAAATATGCGGTCTATTATGCAGTCATATAACGCTTCTTCGGACTGCATAAGTGCAAAAGGAGATTCTGCGAGAGCACTTTTGTGACGCAGTTTGCGGTCGCATAATCAATATGCGGACCGCATAATGGATCTGCGATGTGGAACTGGGCAACTGGGCGTGCAATTATACGGCGACTTTGTATTTCTGCGGACCGCATACATGATCTGCGACCCATTCTGCGGTCGCAGATGTGTTCTGCAGGGGCATTTTGGTCTAAATTTGACCACGACCTTTGGCCCATTATAAATAGATTTACTAGGGTTTTTGTGGGACATCTGGTCTGAAAAGGAGGCTACTTTTAGAGTATTGAATAATCCATTATTTTGGAAGCTTTTGAATAAAGAATCTTGTATCTTTGTAAGGTTTATGACTTCATTTATTGCTTTGTTCTTGGATTCTAGTATGAGTAGCTAGTTTTAAATACTAAGATTGTGGGCCCTAAATGGGTGTAATATTAATGGGTGTTTACCATTGAATATATATATAATGGTTGGTTGGTATTTATTCATTTTTCATGCTTCATTTAATGTTGGTGGTTGCAAATATTGACTAATGCCATTTCATTCTATCTTTACTTGGAAAAGTGGGTTAGGGTTTGGTAGAATTGAATAGCAAAAACTCAAGGCTTTAAACCTTGTTTAATAGAATCGCTTAGGAATAAGTGGGGTTCTATTTTGCATAAATTAGTTGTTCTTAATTGTAACTCTTTTATATTTGGAAAAATCATAAAGAGAAAATACTACCTAACTATTGGGAAATATTGGGTAGTCATTTAGAAGCCATTATCATAACAAAGGACCTTCCATTAGGAATATATCATATTAACACCGATAGCTTTACATTCCATTGATGGGGACACAACCTTGGTTTCCTTAATCAAATTAATTACATTCTCATAACAAAATAGTTTTCTCGATAACTCATAATTATAGCACTCTCTTTTAAGCTAATGGAGTAGGATTACAACTTAAAGTCAAGTTTCACATTATTCAAGCAACCTTTTCTCACCTATTCCCTGTGGGATTCGACCCCAATCTAGTTGGGTTATTATATTTGATATCGACCGCCTTACACCATTTATTTAGGTGTAATTTGAGCATATCAAATTTTGGCGCCGTTGCCGGGGAATACGGTTTTGAAATTACTATTTAGTGTGTGCTTTACTTTACGTCTTCTTCTACTCCATCATACTTTGCTTGGTGTTATTAGGTAAACATGACCGAGTTAGAAGAAGAAAACCCTTTTGCGGATATAGATGAGTATATTGAGGATACAAATGCCATTGTCCCTCCAAGAGTTGATGCTGCCACCTTCAAGGTGGAACACCGTCTAATCCTAATGCTCAAAGCAGAGGGGTTTTTCAGAAATTCCACCGATGATGATCCGACACAACATCTCAGAAACTTCTTGGGTGTGTGTGCGATGCACAAGCAGAATCACGTTTCAGATGATGCCCTAAGAATGAGGGTGTTCAAGTACTAACTAACTGGAGAGGCAAGGAAATGGATCAAAATCTACCACCTAATTGCATTCATACTTGGCCCAAACTCGTTCGAGCTTTCCTAGCTAAATGGTTCCCGCAAAGCAAGAAGTCAGAGCTCCGGGATAAAATTTAGTTAGAGCTCCGGGATAAAATTTTCTTTTTCAAGCAACTACCGGGAGAGCATATACATGAGGCATGGGATCGTTTCAAGTTTTATTAAGTGAGGTCGCCGAATCATGGTTTTCCGGACAACATCTTGTTGGAGAAGTTTTACATGGGCTTGGATCCTTTGAATCAATCCATATCCAAAAATGCAGCTGATGGATCCTTTATGGATAAAATATTTGCAAGGGTCACACAAATTCTTGACAAGATGGCATAACATAACCAACCTTGGCACTCTGAAGACACTATGGGTGGAATTGCATATGGTACTCCTTCCTTGACCAACATGATTAAGGAGAACCAAGAAAGAGATCAAGTAATTGCCGGGCTTGCTACCAACATCAATGTGTTGACCAAGATGTTTACTGAAAGCCAAACAAAAAAAGTGAATACTGTGAAAGATGTGCAACCCTTGTCAAACGAGGATTACGAGGAAGAAAATTATGTCAACAATGCTCAAGGTGGTTACCAAAGACAACCCTACCAAGGTCATGGGCAACAAAATCAATGGAGGTCTAACCCGCACAGGCAAGGCCATCAACAGTGGCAAAATGATCAAGGTAGTTCAAATCAAGGTAATTGGAGTAACAATAACAACAACTATTCAAATCGGAGTTCAAACCCCTATGTTCCACCAAAGGGGCTATACTCTAACTCTTCGCATTGGAAGGAAAGTTCTTCAAATGAGTCCAAATTGGAGAACATGCTTGAAAGAGTGTTGCAAAATCAAGAAAGATCCGACACTTCAATGAAGAACATGACTGATCTTGTGGGTTCTCACATCGCATCCATATAAAAGTTAGAAATGCAAATGAGAGATCTATCAAGAGATCAAAATCCGAAGCAAAAGGGCATACTCCCAAGTGACACAATAGAAAATCCAAAAGGTAATGGGAATGATCTGACTTCTCATTGTATGGCAATCATAACTCGAAGTGGAAAAATACTTCAAGGAGATAATGAACAAGTGGCCGAAGTAGAAGATCCGGAATAAGAGGTTGAGGCACAAGTTGAGGTGCCAATTGTTGTTGAAGCTGAAAGACTCCCAAAGGAGGTGAAAATTCAAGAAGTGAACCGTGAAGAGGTTAAGGAAAAGGTAAAGGAGGAACCAAAAGCTCTAGTACCAATTCCTAGACCTCCCCCTCCTTTCCCTCAAAGACTTGCTATGAGGGTTGATGATAGCAAACTCGAGAAATTCTATGACATTCTCAAGTAATTATCGGTGAACATTCCATTTATGGAAGAATTTCAAGAGATGTCGGGTTTTGCTAAGTACTTGATGGAATTAATCACCAAGAATAAAACCAACAAGAATGAAGTGGTGAATGTGACTCACCGGGTTAGCTTCATCATTGCAACAACCACCGTTCAAAAGAAAGAAGACCCGAGAGCTTTTACCATTCCATGCACTATCGGGTTGCACGATTTTGCACGAGCTGTTTGTGATAATGGGGCTAGCATCACCTTAATGAATCTTGCTATTCACAAGAAAGCGGGGTTAGTTATGCCGAGGCCTACAAGTATGAGGTTGCAAATGGCCGATTGTTCAATAAAGAGACCGGTGGGGATTGTTGATGATGTTCTTGTGAAAGTGGTAAAGTTCCTCCTCCCTGCCAACTTCGTGATCCTTGATTGTGCTGTTGATAAAGAAATCCCCATCATCTTGGGGAGACCATTCCTTGCTACCGGAAGAGCAGTCATGGATTCGGAACGAAATGAGATCATGTTCCGAGTTAATGACGAAGAGGTTACCTTTCAAGCGAGTACGGGTATGAAATTGCCACATGCATATGAAAGCATCTCAGTCATTGATATTGTTGATGAGTTATAGGACACAATCTAGATAAAGATGGAAGAAGAATGTCTTGATGAAGCATTGGCGGCTATTTTGGTGAATTTTGATGGTGAAGACATGGTAGGATACATGGAATCGGTAAATGCATTAGAAGGGCTTGGGTCCTACACTTATGCACCAAAGAAACTTTCTCTTGACTTAGAGAATAGAGTCACTCCTCCCGCTAAGCCTTCAATTATTGAGCCGCCACAACTTGAGCTCAAGCCACTTCCACCGCACTTAAAGTATAAATTTCTTGGCTTTAATGAAACTCTACCTGTAATCGTTTCTTCTTTGTTGAATGATGTGCAGGTTGAACACTTGTTGAATATCCCGAGGGAGCACAGACAGGACATTAGGTGGACAATAGCGGACATCCAAGGGATTCCCGCCGAAATTTGTGAGCATAAGATACAACTGGAGCAAGAGAGCAAACCTAGCATGGAGCATCAAAGAAGGTTGAACCCTTCCATGCAAGAGGTGGTGAAGAAAGAAATCATAAAATGGTTAGATGCCGGGGTAGTCTACCCCATTGCCGATAGCCCTTGGGTGAGTCCGGTGCAATGTGTGCCAAAGAAAGGAGGCATAACCGTGATTCAAAATGACAAAAATGAGCTCATCCCAACAAGGACGGTGACCGGGTGGAGAGTTTGCATGGACTACCGGAAGCTCAACAGTGCTACTTGCAAGGACCATTTCCCTATGCCTTTTATTGATCAAATGCTTGATCGGCTAGCGGGAAGGTCATTCTATTACTTCTTGGATGGTTATTCTGGCTATAACTAAATCAACATCGCCTTAGAAGATCAAGAAAAGACAACATTCATATGCCCGTATGGAACCTTTGCCTTTAGCCGTATGCCATTTGGGCTATGCAATGCCCCGACTACCTTTCAACGGTGCATGATGTCAATCTTCTCGGACATGGTGGAGGATTTCTTAGAGGTGTTTATGGATGACTTCTCTGTAGTTGGTGACTCCTTTGAGCATTGCCTCGACAACCTTAGACAAGTGCTCAAAAGATGTGAGGTAACCAACCTTGTGCTAAATTAGGAAAAGTGCCATTTCATGGTGGACGAGGGCATTGTTCTGGGCCACAAAATTTCCAGACAAGGCATAGAGGTTGATCGGGCAAAGATCGAAATCATTTCCAAGCTACCTCCTCTACTTCGATAAAAGGTGTCCGGAGTTTCTTGGGGCATGCCAGTTTTTATAGGCATTTTATCAAGGACTTCTCAAAAATTGCAATTCCTATGTGCAAGCTCCTTGAAAAAGATACAAAATTTGAATTTGATGAGAAGTGTCTCAAAGCTTTTGAGGAATTGAAAGTCAAGCTCACCACGACACCTATTATTGTCACACCTGATTGGTCCCTTCTATTTAAACTCATGTGTGACGCCAGTGGTGTAGCTTTTGGGGCGGTACTTGGTCAACGGCATAACAAGGTCATTAATCCTGTCTACTATGTAAGCAAGACACTCAATGGCGCACAAATGAATTACACTGTGACTGAGCAAGAACTGCTTGCCATTTTATATGCCTTTGAAAAATTCCGGATCTATTTGTTGGGGTCCAAAGTGATAGTTTACACTGTTCATGCTGTTCTTCGCTATCTTATGGCGAAGAAGGATGCTAAACCAAGATTGATTAGGTGGGTCCTTTTGTTACAAGAGTTTGACTTTGAAGTCAAGGATTGGAAAGGGACAGTTAATCAAGTTGCAGATCACCTATCTAGACTTGAAGAGGCAGGGAGACCAAAAGAAGATCTTGAAATTAATGATGCCTTTATAGATGAGCACATATTGGCATTGTCTAGCACCTTCGCCCCTTGGTATGCCGACATCGCTAACTTCTTGGTTAGTGACCTTATTCCCGACGGATTGGAAGATTATCAAAAGAAGAAGTTCTTGCTAGAGTGTAGGCAATACTATTGGGAGGAACCCTTTCTGTTCCGTATTTGTGCCGACAACATCATTCGACGTTATGTTCCAGAAGATGAGGTAATGCAAATTCTCAAAGCATGTCATGACTCCCCAGTTGGGGGCCATCCTGGTGGAAACCGTACCGCGTCAAAAGTGCTTGAATATGGCTACTATTGGTCATCGATCTACCAAGATGCAAATCAAATGGTCAAGGCATGTGATCAATGTCAAAGACAAGGGTCAATTTCTAGAAGACATGAGATGACTATGAACTTTGTAATGGAGGTCGAGATCTTTGATGTGTGGGGGATAGACTTCATGGGTCCCTTCGTGAGCTCTTATGGTATGAAATATATCTTGATGGCAGTGGACTATGTCTCCAAATGGGTCGAGGCAATCGCCTTGCCCAACAATGAGGCAAAGAGTGTGACCGCTTTCTTAAAGAAGAATATATTTACGCGGTTTGGCACCCCCCAGGGCCATCTTTAGTGATGGTGGTTCTCACATTTGCGACAAGGCCTTCACCGGGCTGCTCGAAAAGTATGGAGTCAAGCACAAGGTGGCCACCCCTTATCATCCTTAGTCGAGTGGCCAGGTTGAAGTTTCCAACAAGGAGATCAAAAACATCCTAGCAAAAACTGTTAATGCAAACAGGACTGACTGGTCAAGGAAGCTAGATGATGCATTGTGGGCATATCGCACGGCATTTAAGACTCTCATTGGCACCTGACCATACCGGTTGGTTTTTGGTAAGGCGTGTTACTTGCCAGTGGAGCTTGAACACAAAGCCATGTGGGCATTGAAAAAGTTAAATCTTGCCTAGGCCGAAGCTGCTAACCTAAGAATGACACAACTCAACGAGATGGAAGAATTCCGTTTCATGCCTATGAGAGTGCAGCCATGTATAAGGAAAGAGTGAAGTTTGTTCTTGACAAGAAGATTTTGAAGCGGGAATTCAAATCCAGTGACTTGGTCTTACTCTTCAACTCAAGACTCAAGTTATTTCCGGGAAAACTCAAATCCAAATGGTCTGGCCCGTTCAAAGTTGTGAATGTGTCCCCCTATGGCGCTATTGAATTGGAGTCGGAGGACGGGACTCGAACTTTCAAAGTAAATGGCCAACAGGTCAAGCATTACCTCGGAACCACAGGAGAAAGGTACTTGGTAGAACAATTCGCACTTAAGGATAGTCCTACACCAGCCCCCACCACTGATTAGCCCAAATGGGGTCAACATCGTCATGCCACAACGTTAAATCAAGCGCTTCTTGGGAGGCAACCCATGTGTGGTAACATTCTTTTGTTAGATTTTAATTTTTGTATGTTTAGTTGCTAGTGTTGAGTAGTTTGTCGTGTGCGTTAGAATGCAGGTTGCCCAAAATACAATGAAACAGGGTGCAAGGATTGAGAAGAATGAAGGAAAGCAGGACCTATGGTCTGCGGCAACTATGCGGTCGCATCATGGCTTTGCAGACCGTATAGTGGCCGCAGACACACTTATAAGACAATGCAATTTTGGCCCTCAAAAATGCGGTGAGATTTCTATTTCTGCGGCCCGCATAATGATTATGTGACCGCAGAATGCATCGCGAATTGGATTTAACCAAAGCAGTTACTAACTCATCGCATAACATATATGCGACCGCATAATATGTTATGCGATCTACTTTTCCACCGTAGAACTCCCAGGTATTAAACCCTAACCCCTTCCGCATTTCAATCGCACATTCTCACTCTCACACACACAAGCACCGCACAATACAAAAGAGATCAATAAAAAAAGAATAATAAGAAAAAGACCAAAAACATCGATTTACCAACACAAAATCACAAAAAACAAAATAACAAGGAATTGCGAAGAAAGAGCTCACCTGGTTCGTATCTATGGACGAGTGCTTTAACTGCTCAGATATCTGGTATGTAAATTTTCTCCCTCTCTTGCTTAATCACGTCTCTCTTCATTGCGATCACCTCCCGCTCGAGGAAACAAATGGGCTGCTGCCCTGAGCCAACAAGCACAACAATCCAAACACCCAAGGCCTGAAACAACCAGAAGCACATCTGAGCACTCCTCCTAGTCTGAAGAGGAGGAGGCACAGACTGATCTTATGCCATCCGTTGATCTCCATGCTAAAACACATCGGAAAAGTGGTGAAGATCTCCGGTTTGGGGTTCCCGGCTCTTGGAACTTGTACAAAGATGGCTTAGCAAAGAGACAAATCATTGAAGAAAAGAAGCTAGGCCTGAACGATTTAAAATAACATTACCCTCATGTGCTTGAAAATATTTAAAAGAGGCAATGGGAATTCTACACTCAAGTCCCGGGGGAGTATAACGAGATGCTCGTTAGGGAATTCTATGCTGCTTATGCTGCCTCCAGGAATGCTGAGCAGAAGCAGAACTGTGTATTCTTACAGCCTGTCCAAGTTCGAGGGGTCTAATTACTCTGTGATGCCGTGTCAATCAACGACATATATTTTGAGGATTGTTCGTCAGGCACAGTTGAATATGATGCAAAACTTGCCAATAAGGAATCCGAGCGTGCTTGGGTTGCTTCCGTCATAGCCAAAGGAACTCCCTCCTGGATAGCTTCACGCCAAAAGATTCACAAGAGGGATCTCACTCAGGAAGGCCGGTATTAGCTCAGTTTTGTCTGCCCTCGTCTAATGTCTACTAGAAATGAAACCGACATAAGCATCGAGAAGGCAATCCTCATTGCATGCATCATGACGTGCATCAAAGTTAATGTGGGAGAAATTATATTCCGGGAAATTGGAATCAGATCGAATCAAAAAGAAACATTATTCCCCTTCCCATGTTTGATCAGTGCTTTGTGCAAAACTGGGGAAGTGCCTCCTATCCCCAAACATGACCGCATCGAAAAGACTATTCAAGATATTGACATCACCCGAATCAGTGATGCTACAGAAAAGGTAATAGACAACTCACCAGAGAATTCACTCACTCCTCCATCAGACTCAGCAGCACATGCTGCTCCCTCAATGCCTGATACTCCTTCTGCACCAGCCAGCTCCACATCCATTCCCAGACCTACCACTACACAGCCACCTGCTTC